TCGTCTTCATCTGCTCTCCCGCTGAGAAAGGGCCTTCTCAGCAGTGCACCCATGGTCCGAACGACCAAGAGACTCAACATCCACGAGGGAGACATACGAAATTCAATCGGTACCTCGATGCCAGAACCCGCGAACTAGGAGGTCACCCCGATCTTGGACAACGGGATCAGAGGGAGTAGGAGCATGGAGAATCAGCAGAGTCAATCGAGCCATAGCTGGGCGACCAAGAGTGATACGGGGTTCGTCGCGGACAGCAGAGGGCATGAAAGCATGGAAGATAAATCAGCCAGCTCGCGCACAATTGATGTGGCGTCTGAAGAAGAAGTCCACCGTGGGAGCAGGAAAAGGCATGGTGGAGACCAAACTTTTTCTTGCACCCATCACAGTGGGGTTGGAGATCCGAAGGAGTCAGTCCATATCGAAGATGGAGAGAATCCCGAAACTCCAGGGGAGAGAGGACGGTATCATTCTCTGGCATGGGGGTGACGGAGAGCCACGCCCCAGTTGAACAAGCCCGTTGGAGACCCTCACGACGGACTGCAGGGGCAGCAGCCTTGATGGTGGCAAGAGTCTGTTGAGCCTCTTTCACACGAGATGCTTGAGTGTGAGCACGCGTGGAAGTGCTTTCTTGATCGTTTTCAGTTCTGGCTGGACTGATTCATGAGCCCTGCCTGCATGGAGGTTTGTCTTCGTTTCGGACAAGACTGGTCGCTTAGATCTCACGAAGAATCCAAGGGAGAGCTGATGGTTCACTCCACGGCCTGCTCCACAATTGTCATGGTGTGGCATCACTGGATAGCTCGGGCCGACCTTGCTCACTTATTTGTAGATGATGTTGATGTCATTGTCTAGCTAAAGATGACTGCGACACAATAAAACAGTGCATCTAGTTGTTTACCTAGAGAAAAATGTAGCATATAATCAGAGAGCTGTAGAATTGGTGATATCAACGGATCCATCTTCTCCAACCAAAAGATCAATGGTGATTTCAGAAAATGCCTCCCCAGCTACCAAAGAATACAACACTGATTCGTTAGTGGCTGTCAGAGTGATCCAACCAGGGATGGAGACACCATCACCATAACTGTCAGACACAACCAGTATGTAGGCTGTGTCGGTGTTCACTGGGCAGAGAGAGGAATATAGATGATTTTTGAATGCCAGTGGACCACCAGATCCCAGTGTCTCCCAAACACCAGTCACATTGGTTTCCTTCTGCCAAACCCATGATATTTCGTCTGGATAATCTTCAGTATGGATGTTCAGCATGACATCAGCACCTCTAGTTGGAAACCGACCAGGCCAATCAGGTGGAGCTGCTATGAGGTCAGAACAGGTGGAAACAGGAGGAGTTTCATTTAGGGAGCAATCACAATTGAGAAAAGAGCAAAGATGCTCTGGCACACTTCCTGAAAATCGATTCCCATACAGTCTCAACCCCATAAATCCATTCAGTTGGCTGGGCAGTGTTCCTGTCAGGTTATTGTTGTGAAGATCCAGAGATGTCAAAGATGTCATCAGACCCATTTCAGTGGGGATTCTTCCGGTGAACTGATTGTCATAAAGGAGAAGCCCCAGTAGTGAGGTCATGAGCCCTAGCTCAGAAGGCAGAGGACCTGTGAACCGGCTCTCATGAAGGTCCATCTGGTCTAATGAAACCATGAGCCCAAGCTCCGAAGGAACTTGACCACCCAACCCGGTATCGACAAGGTCAAGCACGTCCAATGCAGTCAAGAGCCCAAACTCAGATGGAATTGGACCGGAAAACTGATTCTGATGAATCTGTAGGTCTTCCAATGAGATCAGGAGCCCAAGCTCAGAAGGGATTGTCCCAGTCAAGCGATTCTCGTACAAGCTCAGCCTGGTCAAAGCCGTCAAAAGGCCAAGCTCAGAAGGGACTTGACTGGTGAGCTCATTTTGATTGAGCCGTAACCAAAGCAAAGCAGTCAACTTTCCAAGCTCAGAAGTAACGGGACCGGTCCACTGATTCTGCTCAAGATATAGCAATTTCAATGAGGTTAGGAGCCCAAGCTCAGAAGGAAATGGACCAACCCACTGATTCTTAGGAAGGCTAAGCAAACCCAATGAAGTCAAGAGCCCAAACTCAGATGGAATTGGACCAGAAAGCTGATTCTGATCAATCCATAGGTCTACCAATGAGTTCAGGAGCCCAAGCTCAGAAGGGAGTGTCCCAGTCATTCGATTCTCGTACAAGCTCAGCCTGGTCAAAGCCGTCAAAAGGCCAAGCTCAGAAGGGACTTGACCGGTGAGCTGATTTTGATTCAACCATAACCCACTCAAAGCAGTCATTGTGGAGATTTCAGGGGGAATTTTGCCAGCGATCTGATTTTCCACCAAAGCCAGATGTGTCAATCCAGTCATCTCGTACAGTGCTGCTGGTAACAGAGATGAAAGCGTTCCAGCAATATCATTGCCACCAAGAGACACACGAGACAGGGAACTCAAGAGCACAATCTCAGGTGGCAAAAATGGGGCAAGACCAGCGAGCTGCAGGTCTCCCAGATTCAGAGATGTGAATCGTCCTTGGTTGTTGCATGAAAAAGCTGGATTAAAGAATGGATGGTACCTTTCACCTGAAAAAAGTCCAAATCCACTGGAGAACCAGTCACACTCTTCGACAGTGTCATCCATCCATCCGCGGCCCTTGATTAACGGATTCCAACTATCTCCCTCAAAGGCATAGAAGAAAGCTGCAAGAGCAAACAGCTGTGTCCTTCTCCATTCAGGCAAGTTTGTGATGTTTTGGTGATTGGCTAGCCATTGCCATGCTCTCCACTGGGGGGTCTCGCTGCCATTGTTGATGCTGGCCAGAGTGTAGTCAGGGAGACTATCGAATAGCAAGTCTAGAACCCCAGTGGGGGCAGATGATGGTACTTCAGAAGGAGTCATGGACCCAAAAACTGTCGGAGCGTTTGTTGATTGGGAGACAATCACCTCTGGCTCCTTCTTTTGGGTTCCTGCCACAGATCCCACAACGACTGCTGCCACAATTAACAACATGACGAAAAAGACTATAAACGTCAGCCTCTGTTTCTTCCTCTTTTGTTCTCTCTGCTGGACATGCTGTAGATCGACTGGATCTGCAGCGGGCCTAGTCTGTTCCTCCTCTGAATCTTCTAGAACAAGATTGGCCACTGCCAAGTTCGGGTCATTTGTTGCTGGAATGTTGTTGTCACTGGCTATCATAATGTCAGGTGGCAATGGGTCTGTTGGTTCTATCTGGGTATTCTGATCACCATTATTATAGAAAGCCCCCCCTGCTGCATATGCACCAGGCTGTGACAATGACATTGCGGCATTGTTGGGTTGTACTACAAGTTCTTCACTTTGCCGGTTTGGATGATTACCAGAATTTGCAGCAGTTTGAAATTTTTCCATTTTGCCAGCCTCATTGAATTCGGTTGCCATTTGCAGGAGGAGCCAATTATAACTAGCAGGGTCCCTGTGTTCTGCTTGCATAAAAACCTCTTCTTGTTCCAGTTGCTCTGGCACTGCTGCACTTGCCCTGTCTGCCAGAACCCTCAAGATTGGATGAGTCGTGATTTTATTGTCGTGATCCTCAGTTGGAACACTGCTGCTGGATGGAGTGCGACGGCGTTGCATTTTTCTGGTTACAGCAGTTTCAGCCGGAGTCTCTACATTTTTGTTCTCCTGAGTGGTACCGGTAGCGGCAGTGACAAAGAATTCCTCCGCTTGGAATTGTGCAGCTTCAGCCTTGGCTCTCTTAAGGAGAACATCCGCTACCGCTGGGTCGAGTGTGTCTTCCCCCCCACCACTGCCAAGAGATTCCTCCTCCTCGTTCTTACTAACAGCCTTGGCTTGCTTCATCCCTACATGTTTGTTCTCCTGCGTGGCAGTGGCAGTGGCAGTGGCAGCGGCAGCGGCAGCGGCACAGAATTTCTCGGCTTGGAATTGTGCAGCTTCGGCCTCGGCTCTCATAAGGAGAACATCCCTTACCGCATCGCTTCTGTCAGAAGATTCCTCCTCCTCCTCCGTATTCTCTTGAACAGCCTTGGCTTTCTTCATCCTTTCTTTCCTGAAATATGAAGCCGGGTTTACTATGGATTAGAGAGCTAAGATGAGGATGGGGGCAGAGCTCAAGGGGAGGGCACCATGCAGGAAGGCAAGGCAAGCAATCAAGTGGGCAAGCAGGGCAACATGGAAACCAAGGAAAGGGGTGAAGGCAGGAGGGCAGGGTATACTCGAGCAGCTCAAACTGTTGTTGTACCACGCACTAAAAGTCATCCGATCAGAAGAATCATAAGTCTCCCTTTTGGTGGACCTGGTATTCATGAAGTCTTTCGTAGATAATTTCCCTACTCTAAACCCCCTTATATATAGTGCTTGGCTGAGCTGTTGCGAGATCGAGGGGCTACCGATAGCTAGCTAGATATGCTAGATAGCTAGCTGAGTGTGATTGGAGTCAGTCATGAGTGACTCATTTTTCACACACCCAATATTATTAATATTATTATCTCGGATCCAATCCACGGAACGTGCAATGTTTCCAATCATCAACGGTGGCTCAGACTCTCGTGCGTCTAAGGTGGAAAGTGGCCAAAGAAATATAGGAAGGAGTTTGTCCGGCCTTGAAGGATGGACGGGGGAGTACTACTAGTAGCTCCCGTTTCAGCTGACGCAATGTATGTGTACCCTCTACGGAGCTAATGGTGCTTACTTCTTGCTTAGTTTGGGAGCTCGTGGCTCAATACAGAGATTTCTCCTGGAGAGGGTGTGTTTACACACTCTCAGAACCGTGCAACACAACGTCGGACATCGTATCCTGTGCATCAATCAATCTCGTTTCAAGATGCGGCCGTGGTGGCTTTTTGCTCTTTGAACAGAATCAACGCATGAATCGTTGAAGCAGTCACAAGATTGGCTACTTGTGTGCTTCGGATGCGCTTGGAGGCTGCTATAGCTAGCACTCGGTGCACAAAACTGTTTGCTTGATTCAACCCGTTAATCGTTCGCCTCATATGAGTTCAACCAGTTCCAACAACAAACGCAGCAAAGAAGGCGGCAGTAGTGACGATGAGCCACCCTTGAAGCGGCCTGAGTGGGCTGACATCGTTGTCGTCGTGGGAGGAACCCCGTGTTTTGAATCGAGCCATATCCTGAGGGCCAGCAGCGGCTACTTTGATGCAGCCTTCCGCTTTGGAACCAAGAAATTCGACTTTCCTGACAAAGATCCGGAAGAATGGAAACGCTTGAAGGGCATCCTGGAACCATTTTCAGAAACCATGGTATCGAATGAGCTTCACCACATGGCCAAGGGGCTGAAATTGTGCGACGCGAAGTTGAAAAGTGTCATCATGGAGTCCGCAGCGGAGGATTTTGACAGGGCGCTCAAGTATCTTTTGCTGAGCTATGCGCACAACCTTCAGGGGACAAAGGAAACAAGCTGCAGTATGATTCTACAGGCGTTCCAATCCAAGTCACTCCGAGGGGCGGACAAGGTCAAAATGGGATCACTGTGCAAGCTTTTGCTCTTGGATGGCTACTGCCGCGAGAGGCTATGGTGCGTCATTGAGGCTACCTTCCCAGTCCCGTCGTGGATAACGCTGAGCAAACCAAGATGCTCTCCTCGGAGCTCCTTACGTTTCTCATGGCCTCTGAGATTCAAAAGGCGACAATGATTCAAACTATTCAAAAGAGCAAATCCATGAGTGCTCTTCGATCGGATCTCCAGGCAAGCGGTATCTTGACACGAGATGGCGGTAGCAAAAAGGTGGCATCAGTAGGTCGACAAGGACACGATGCCATTGGGATCGATTCTGACTCTGTTGAGGTCGATGGTGGTGATGTAGCAGCATATCCTACCAGAAGCATTGCAAACGAGGCTGGTGTTCGCGTACGTCGTTCGAAGCGGCATGCCGGAAAGAGGTTGGGGTATGACGAAACCACAGGACCTGAAACTGATTCCGAGGATGAATTTTATCTGGCGGCGAGTGGCAATTATCGTTCCCTGTTTTATTCTTCATGCAACTGGGCTCTATGACATGCACGTGGGTGGCGAGTTTTGATGGGACTGCCACTTTTAAACTTGTCTTTAATCACAAATTGGTGGCCATGTATCGAATGATGAATCGAATCGAATCTGTGGCGGTGTTGCTCGCGGCCTTGACTCTGACTCCCTCTACTAGCTAGTACGGTGCTGGACCTTATTGGTAGTAAAACTGTCAAATGGTTGTGTTGGCTCCACGATAGAGTTTCCACGGGGTTTCCATAGACGTGTCATTGGCCGCGCTGGGAGTGCGACTGGTGGACCAGTTATTGATGATGGTGGTCTTGGTTGATTTGGCCGCGGAGAATACGGCTGTGACTCGCCATCAGCCATCAGCTGTTGGAAGCGACACGCTACTACCTTTCTAAAGCGGTTAGACCGTGGCGATTCGACCAGTTTTGAACCGAGTGCCTTCCGGTTGGCTCTCCCTGACAAGTTGCCGTAAATGATGGGAATCATGCTGCTAGCTAGCTAGGGCAAAATTTCCAAGCTCCACCATGACTGTTACTCCCGCACTGTGTCCAGCGTAGCAAATGACAAACGGTCACTCCACGGCCTGCTCCACGATCGATCTCCACGGTCATCAACGGTGTGCGAAAGTAGGGTGTTGAAGTGTCTCGTTGTTTCAACGGCCACTACGGTACCGATGCTGATACGAGTACTCGTGGCAGCGTGCTGAATAGGCAAGCGTGTTCCCACCATGCTTCACTGGATAGCTCGGGCCGACTTTGCCCACTTCTCGCCATCAGCGCTGCTAGCTAGCTAATCGAGTGAACATGAGCTCATCCGACGTTGTCAACAAGGAGAGCGGAAAGAGAAAGACCAATGAGGTCAATCAGCCCCCAGCAAAAGTTGGTGCCAATGATGATGTCGTTGTTGTTGTAGGAGGCCAGGAATTTCAAGAATGCAGCCATCATCTCCGATATTGCAGTAGCTACTTCAATGGTGCATTCCGCAGCGGCATGAAGGAGACTCAGACCATGAGGTTTGAATTCCCAGATGGAGATCCTGAGAGTTGGAAACTGACCATGTCATTGCTTTCTCCATTATCTAAGCAGACCATTACCAGCAGCAACATTGAGAAGGTCCTCCCCTGGTTTGACGAGCTGTGCGTCTCCGTTGGGTTGAAAAGATGCGAAGACTTTGTTCTTGGGCAGATTACACCAGCAGACAAGCTTCACGACGAGTATGGGCTCGGGGACATGAACAAGGCATTTCATAGCGCCATGAAATGGCTTCCGCTCGCCCTCCAATACAATCTTCAAAACGTCAAGAGGCGATGCTTTGAAGTACTGAGAAAATCCTGGGAAGCCAAGCATAGATGGTACTTGATTGATGGGCCGACCTTTGACACTTTGAAAGAGCTTCTTGAGTCACATGATGAGCACAAGCAAGATCTTTGGGACCTGTTGGCGGTTGTCTTGCCTAACACCATTGCGGACAAAAAAGAACAGGATTTCTTGCTCTCCAGTGGCATCCTTCGAATGTTGTTTGTGTCCGAACTCCAGAGACAGAAAACGCTTCTTATCCTCAATAATTGCGCAGGGTCTCGTCCTATGTGGAAAGTCGCATCACAACTGAAGAACCACGGTGTCACCGGCCTTGAAAATTGGTAGATATCGCTACATTTCATGTGGACACCGCAAGTACTTGCTTCAATGGGCTATATATCGGGGGGTTGTTGTGGCACAGCCAATGGCAAGCTTCTGTCCAAGAGTGGTACGATTCAACAAGAAAGGAAGTATAGGACCTTCTGTAACTTTCTGGTTAGAACTTAAATTATCTTTATGTGATCTTAGCCAGGCTTGATTTTGCTGATGAGCGGATCTGGGAAGTTGGCGCTTGAAGCAACGTCCCCAATGTAAAGGAGCTGGAGGAAAGAAACTTGCAACGAGCTTATTCTCAATCGTTCATGTATACCGGTATTCCACACCGAGCTCTGCATGGCTTCGTCACTCCAACGTCAACGGTGATTTTCAGGCCCCGCGTCGATGAGGTGCGATGGTGAATGTGGTTGAACTCTATACGGTACCGGTACAGTACAACCAAAGGTTCATTCGTCTTTGCTTGGTTGGTCGCTACCAGCACAGCTGCGAACGCTCGTTCCCTTCGTACCAGTAGTCTCGACTGAGTCGCTCGGCTGTACATCGTGCCCCTGAGATGATGGAATAATCGAATCAATCACGCGAGACACCAGAGACGAGCGAAGTCAGAGGGGCAACGACTTTCAAGGTCCCACTCAAAGTCCCACTAAAAGTCCTCCAACCCCCCTATTTTAAAGAGTTTTGTGGACACGGACCGCGCACGGAGCTACCGTACGTTCCGGTACCGGTACGTCCCGGTACTGCAGGGCTTGTCTTCTCTTTTTTAAAACATGTATACCGTTGGATAATCCATGGTTGTAGCTCCTCTGTGAAATACGTCAACACGAACGCACTCTTTAGTCAATGAACGGATGAGTCGTCCACGATCATGATCCACGATGTCAACGGCGCTGTATCCCGTGAAGCCCTTTTCTGTCTTGAGTGGGCTCTCTCATCATCAGACCTCGCCTCATCGTTTGCTCACAAATCAACAATACTAATCGAAACGTTCCCAATGAGTTCGACTGCTTCCAGCAAGTGTAGCGGAGGCAACAAAACCACCGACAATGACCGTGCATCCACTGGCACGGACACAAGCAATGCATGGTCCGATGTGGTGTTGGTGGTCGGTGGAGTAGAGTTTCATGAGTCAAGTCACTTTCTCAGGGCCAGCAGTGACTACTTTGAAGCAGCCTTTCGAAGTGGAATGAAGGAGGCCCAGACCAAGAGGTTTGAGTTTCCTGACAAAGATCCAGAGGGCTGGAGATTGATCAAAAGCTTAATTCAACCCTTTTCTACGGCCACTATTACTGCAGAAAGTGCTGAAAAGCTCCTTCCCTGGTTTGACGAGCTTTGCATGCCCAAAGGGCTCATGCTGTGCGATGAGACGCTCGGTAGTTTGGCAACCCAGAATTTCAACCAAACAAACACAGTCGGAGACAAGGAAGTCCAGGGGGCACTTGAGGGTTTGACAGTCAGTGCTCGATACAGACTCCCAATGACAAAGGTGACACGTTGTGACTTTATCTATGCTGCATTCCAGACAAATTTGTTTCAATTTGCCTCCAAGGAAAACCTTCGCGTTCTGTTCGAAGTCATGCTGTCTGATGAAACCTGTCGGGACAAGTTTTTTAGTCTGTTCCAAAGCTACCTTCCTGCTGCTGAGAGTGCTGATCAACTCAAGATGCTGTCCAACAATCTTCTTCCAGCATTGGTGGCAACAGAGATTCATAAGGAATCGTTGGTTTCGACCATTCAGAAATGCAGAGCGAGCAAAAACGTGGGTGCTCTTCGGGCGGATCTGCAGCAAATTGGCATTCTCACGAGCTCCAACGAGGCCCGCGTTGGATTCGATCGTTCAGTTCAGCATGCAACGAAGAGAATCAGACTGGGATCGATATCTCACCATTCTTCTGACTCGGTGGAGGCTGCATCAGTAGAGGCTTCTCCAGTAGCACAGGACGAGTACGAACCCGTCGGTAATCGGTACCTACGGGCATTGTGTCGTTGAATCATTCTCCGACGTGAGGATCGACGTGAAACCCTACCTGGGTTGGCTGTGTGTGTGCGGTAGGTGTGTGTTGTGTGAGATGTGTGGTGGCGTGAGACTATTCATCGCTCCACTACTTCTTTTTGGTTGTATGCACTGCCCTGCCCTTTGCAAACCCCCGCACTTGCCCAAGTATATGATATACGAAGCTCTCAAGACTTATAATAATAATAATACTTAACAACAACTACTTACAAATCCGTTCGTCCGGTATCAATTCGATATTGCTGTTCCGGCACTCCATTGATGAGTCGTTGTACCAGTTCATTGTTGACGTATTTTTCTTCAATTTTGTTTCCATCCTTTTCCAGAGATTGAATGGTAACGCGTCGTCCATTTTCAATGACGGTGCGTGTACTTTTGGAAGTATACGTCGAGTGTTGTCGTCGCCGACTATTGCCATAGGATGTTTGCGTGGATGACGTTTGGGGTCGTCCATCGGGTCCAATAGTAGTGGTCGATGTTTGTATTTGGAAATCAATGCCGAGACAATCGGCAATCCAACGACCCCAACTTTTGGGTTGTTGTTTCTTGCTGTTGTCGACAACTCCAAAGGCTCGTTGTTGCTGTTGATGCTGTTGCTGTGATTGTTGAGAAGGATGTTGTGCTTGAAACGTCTTGGCAAAGAGATCGTCCATGTCTTTGAATGCTTCTTGAAAGAAGGGATCATTCTGGAACAAATCATTGAATTGCATGAATGGATCACGATAGTTATGACGACGATGCCGATGATGATGATGAAATGCAGGATTGCTGCCACTGGACGATCCATGATGAAACGCGGATGTTCGTCCACCCTTTAATTCTAGATCGTACTGTCGTCGTTGTTCGGGATCACTCAGTACTTCGTAGGCTTCATTGACCCGACGAAACAGCACTGTCGCTTCTTCCTTTTTCTCGGGAGGATTGCGATCGGGGTGGTGCAAGAGTGCGAGTTTTCGATACGACTTTTTGATTTCTTGCAGTGTCGCAGAGGGCGTGACTTGCAACACTTGATAGTGTGTTGTGGAAGCATGCTCATCAGCTTCTGGATCATGGGGAGCTGTGGCGGCCATGCTGTTGTTATTGTTGAGCAAAAGAATAGAAAGAATGAGAAAGAGCCAGAATGGCTTGATGCCGAGTCGTGACGATCCAAACAGAGGAGTACAGAACAAGCCGCTGGGTTGTGGTTGTTGGGGCATTCGTGCGGCTGCCGTTTTGCTGATCGCCAAAGATGAGTCCAACATCATCGTCGCAATACACAGAGTACTAGTACTGAACTTGTAGAGCACCTTGCTTGCATGAGAACTCACTCGGAAGGGCTTGGCGGGGCTGAGAACTCCGTTGACACGTGGCAGTAATTAAGGTTAAGGAGGTAATTCACAAGTTCCTTCTCATGCTAAAAGGGGGGATTAGAGTATGGAAATTATCTACGGAAGCCAGCCGGGGCCAGGCATAAAAGCAAAGAACAGTCGAAATTCAGGACTAGGTTCTGTGGGATCAGGGGCAAGAAATTGAGGACCAGTACGGGGGCCAAATGGTTTGGCTTTGCGAGATCCACGGAGACATAAATGGGTAGCTTTCACAAGGGCAATTGAGATACGGGTCTGCATGAAGAACATCATTTGAGAGTAGGAAAACTGAGTTTTGGAGGCAGTAGCAGAAGCAAGCCGTTGTAAGAGAATCTTGGCTTGGGGGGCAAGCATGCCATCCCCAGAAACAACAAAGGGATGAAAGGAAGCGCGATTGGAGTCGCACGCTTCTTTATATTTGGAAATTCTTCTCATGTGATTGTTCCGACAACACTGCCAAACAACGCCCACCACACCAGCCACCCACCACCGCAGCCACTGCTTTGCCTAGCCCCCCCCCCTTGCTCCTTAACATATCTATTTAGTATTTATTTTCTTCCTGCCAAACAACGCCTACTTTGGCCATGCGTCGAGTCAAGTTGTTGCTTGATGGACACCCACGGCTTTCCAGAATGGCACCGAGTGGTCAACTCTTCTTGCTAGCTAGCTACATGTAGCAAGGTGGGCGGAATTCATTGAACCGGGCTATTCCGTTCGCTGCGCCGTAGGGAAGGATCCTCGAGATCGAGGGCTAGAATCGATTCGAATCCATTCAAAAAGCAGTGAACCAGTTCACGCAATTGCGCTTGGACTTGACCGCGAATTCTTGATTCGAGTGTGAAATTTCCCTCGGAATTCGAAAGCCGGGGCGAACTGTTGCATTGACTATCTAAGTCTAAATAGAATTCTATTTTAAGGCTACTCTGAGTACGACTATCCACCGTGCCGCTACCCTAAACCGATAACCCCCACAAACATTGGGGCGGAGAGAGTGTGAAGCTCAAACGCTGGCAGAAGCCAAAGCTCCATAGGCACCTGACCAGTGAACTGGTTGTCATTCAACGAGATCGCTTCCAAAGCAGGAAATGCCTTGAGCTCAGAAGGAACTCGACCTGTCAACTGATTATCAGAAAGGTGAAGCTGGTACAACCCGGTCAGGAGCCCAAGCTCGGAAGGAATTGTCCCCGTCAAGCGATTCTGATTAATCCGTAGGGCTACCAATGAGGTCAAGAGCCCAAGCTCTGAAGGGAGTTGACCAGTGAGCTGATTTTGATGCAAAGAGAACCAATACAAAGCAGTCAACTGTCCAAGCTCAGAAGGAACTGCACCGGTTAATTGATTCTGGGTCAGAACTTGGGCTCCTGAACTCATTAGGCCTGCTAAAACTTACTCATAATCGGTTGACTGGTCCACTTCCTTCTGAGTTTGGCTCCTGACCTCATTGCATTAGCCCTCGACTTCATGATAACCAGCTATCTTGGGTCCAGATTCCTCTGATCTTGGGCTCCTGACCTTATTGGAACAGCTTCGCCTACAGGAGAATCAGTTTACGGGCCCATTTCCTTCAGAACTTGTGCTCCTAACCTCATTGAACGATGTTCCAATTTAT